CAATCTTTTTACTTTCAAACACTCATATTGTTGTATCTGAAGTAAGTTTCTTGTAGATAGTATATACATCGGTCACAATATTTCATCCACTGTACCAATTTCTGTTTTAGTTGGACTATGTAGACCATTTGCATTTAATGTAATTACTGATATGTTAGGGCTTAAGTCTGCCATTTTAATTTTTGTTTTCTCTTTGTTCTCTTTTTCATTTCTCTGTTTTCTTTTTCCTGATTTTCTGTGGGTTATTGGAATATTTTTTTTAGAATTCCATTTGGATTTATTTATAATTTTGTTTAGTGTATCACTTTGTATAGCTTCTTTAGCGGGTGTTCTAGGTATTATGATATATATTCATAACTTATCCAATCTACTGGTGTCAACAGTTTACCATTTCAGGTGATGTGTAGAAACATTTCCTCCCTTTACATCCATTTACCTTTCCCACTTATAATTGTCTTACGTATTTTCTTTACATACATTGAATGTTATTTTAATTCAGCTGTCAAGCACAATTTAGAAAACTGAAGAAGAGGAAGAAAATCTATTGTGTTAACCCATATTTTTACTGTTTCTCTTATTTTTCTTCCTTTCTGTTGTAAAAATTTTTTTTCTTTTATGATTTCCTTTTTGTTTGGATAATTTCCTTTAGCCATTATTATTAGACAGGTCTGCTGGTAACAGATTTTCTTAGTTTTCCTTCATCTGCAGATGTCTTGGCTTTCCCTTTATTCCTGAAGGATATTTTCACTAGGTACAGAATTTTGAGATGACAGTTCTTTACTTTCAGCACCTGAAAATATGCCATTTCACTCTGGCTACATGTCTTTGGATGCAAAATCTATTGTCATTTGAATTTGCCTTGCCTCTACAGGTAAGGTCTCATTTCTCCCTTGCTACTTTTAAGATATTTTTCTTTTTTCTTATTTTTTCAGAGGTTTGATTCTCATTATCTGAGCGTGGATTTTTTTGTATTTATTTTGTCTGAGGTTCACTAAGCTTCTTCAATCTGTAGGTTTGTGGTGTTTGCCAGCTCTGGCAAATTTCAGGCATTATTTCTTTGAATACTCTCTTGGTCCTGCCCTCTTTTTCTCTTTCAGGAATTTTGTGACATGAATGTTAGGTCTTTTGTTATAGTCCCAAAAGTCCCTAACACTCTGATCATCTTTTTTTTTTTTTTTAATCTGCTTTCCCTGTTTTTCAGATTGGGCAATTTCTATTCTATAGTCAAATTCACTGATTTTTTTCCTCTGCTCCATTTTTCTGTTGAGTGCCTATTCATTTTTTAAAATTTCAATTAATATACTTTTCATTTCTTACATTTCCATTTAGTTCTCTATGTCTTGTATTTTTTTGCTGTTGACTTTTTATTTCTTTATTTTAAGAATGTTTATTATTGCTTGTCAAAACATTTTTATATGGCTGTTTTAAACTCCTAGTCAGATCATTTGGGTATCTCTTTCATCTTGTTGGCATCTATTGATTATTTTTCATTCAAATTGAGATATTCTTGATACTTGTGTTTTTTATTAAAACTTATACATTTGGGGTATTATAAGACTCTGGATCTTATTTAAATCTTTTATTTTACCTGATGTTCTCTGACAGAGCTCTAGTAGTGGAACGGCAGGGTTGCTGCCTTGTTTTGGTCAGGTAGGAGTGGAAGTCCAGTTTCACTTCATGGCCTGTGTCACAGCTGAGGGACAGGGTGGTTGTGAATATTCTCGGGTTTGAGCAGGTATGGGTGTTCCTGCTTGCCCTGTTGGGCAGGCCTCTACTGATAGCACCCTGGCTGGGACAGGAAAGAATGCCTACTTACTGCTCCCCACCTGGCCTCTGCTGACATTGTGGTGGCCGGAGGATGGGGTGTGGGGAGTTCAATACTGCTGGGCAGTTGTGAAAGCCCTGAGTATCTTCTCTGCTTCCTCTGAAACCATCCTGGTAGGGCAGCATAGGGATACCTCATTACCCTTGGATGGATGTGGAAATCCAGGCTACCCACTTTCTCTGCTGACTCTACAGGGAAAGATGATCCTCATTACCTCTCAGCCAGGATGAAAGTCTGGCTTCCTATGGAGCCTTCTCCCACGTCAGCCTGGTGGGGAGACTGGGGTGCCTCGTTACAGCCTCACAATGGCAGAAATCTAGGCTTCCCATTAGCCTTGCTGGCATAGAGGGGGGTTTTGTCAGTTCTTTCTGTTCTGTTTTCCTGAAGTAGATTGGTTATTATCTAAAAGTTTTGTCTTTGGCTGTTTTTTTTTCTTTCTTTCTTATTTTCATTCTTTTTTTTGATCTGGGATATATGAGGCCAAAAAAACCTCACAGAAGTCACCACCTTGGTGTTCATTGGGCCCTGCCTTACCTAGCTGGTCTGTCTTCTCTCCAACATTCAGAATTGTGTTGTATTTATTTCATATAAAAAATTTAGGACTTTTAGTTTTTCTTAGTGGGATGACTATGGAAAAGTACTTCTCCATTTTTCCAGAAGTAGAAGTTTTGTACTACTTTTTAAAGTGATTTTTTAAATGTTTATTTAAAAAGGTATCAAACACTTGTAATGGTCGTGAAACACCCCAGAAATAAATACAAACAGCCAGATTTATTTACCTCTTTTTTGTAACTGATTCTCTATAAGAAGCTGAAATTAGTTCTCATTAGATGGTTTCTTATTTATGTGTGATGTTCCTTAGCAGTACTCTGTTGTTCAGAATTTAAAAAAAAAATTGAGAGAAACTGAGTAATGTGACAGGTTTCATATGGAATCAATTTTTATGGTTTCTTTTTTGAAAAAAGTTTTCAAAAACAAAAACCTAGCCTCCTATTTGGGCTTGTATGGTACTCTGGTGACACGCTATGTGATTGTTGATACCTTTATGATAGACTCACATGTCATTTAATTTACTGATTTCCTATTATAGTGTCTGTCGTGGGTTTGTTGTGGGATTTTTTTTTTTTAAGTCATCAACTCAAAATCCTACAAGTATTAAAGTATTGAAGCAATATCCAATAAAATATAGTAGTAGATTCCACATAATTTCTAGTTAAGGTAATATTCTTTCTAAACAGAACTATTTCCCACAGCACTGTATTCTTAATGTACATTCTTCTTGGCCATTTTTTTTCTATTGGACTGCTTATCCCTTTGTCACTTTATAGGATCTCTTTATATAGTCTATCAATATTTTGTTTGTACTTTGATTTATAGAAGTTCTTTCCAAATCTATTATTTCTCTTGATTTTTTTATCCCATCTTTTATCTTTTTTGATAGCATCTGGGTTTCTAGTTAAGACTTCCTCTTTCTTTCAATAGTACAGGTAGTTGTTTAGATTTTTGTTTAAGTCAAATCTCTTATCCACCTGGGATTTATTTCTGTATGTGTTCCAGTGTTTTGTTTTGTTTTAATTTTGTTTTGTTTTTTAATCCTCACCCGAGGATATTTTTTCATTGCTTTCCAGAGAGGGTGAAGGGGCAGAGGCGAGGAGAGAGAGAAACATCAATGTGAGAGACACACATCACTTGGTTTCCTCCCGCACGTGCCCTGACCAGGGCTGGAGCCTGGCTGGAGTCAAACCCGGGACCCTTCAGTCCAAGAGCCAACACTCTAACCACGGAGCCAAACTGGCTGGGTTCTCCAGTAGTTTTTTTCAAATGGAAATTCAGTTGTGCCAGTATCATCTATAAATCCTTTTCCCACCTAATTGAAATATTTATAGGTTCTCTATTCTCTTCCGGGATTTTGTCTATTCCTATGCCAATATATTAATTTTATTAAATTGTAGTACATATACACACACAGGATGGTAAAGATATGGTTATAAGGCTGTGTGAGTTTGACAATAGTAATTAAGAATGAAGTTGCTTCTCTAGGTAACTCTAATCAAAATGGGATTTAATGAAGAGCCAGTTGATAACTATCTGTTGATAGCTACCTCTGATGCCACCAGATTAATTTTGCCTTTGTAAAATATTGAAAAGATGAATGTATACCATTTTGTTCCAGGTAGTTTGATAGGGGATATATCATTTTTCTCACATCATATTTATGAGATTAGATTTAGCTCTCTTTTACAGATGAGAAAATGACACTTGATCACAGAGTTAAGTTACTTGCCCAATATTATGTAACTATTAGGTGGTAAAGGTAGGATTAAAACACTAATGACCAGGCTCTTTCAATTATGCCAAAATTAAATGTTTCATGTAAAGTGCTTTTTTCCCAATTTTTAAAAATTTTACAGTTACAGTTTACATTCAGTGTTATTTCGTGTTCGTTTTGAGTGTCTAGTGTTCAGTTAGATAATCATATACTTCACAGAGCTCCCCCAGGATTTCAGGTATCTACCTGGCACCATGCATAGTCATTACAGAATCGTTGACGCTGTTCCCTACACTGTACTTTACATCCCAGGGTAACTACTAATTAGTACTTCTTAATTCCTTCATCTTATTCACCCAGCGCCCCAGTTCCCCTCCCCTCTGGCATCCATCCATCTGTTCTCTGTATCTATAAGTCTGTTTCCATTTTGTTCATTCATTTTGTTCTTTAGATTCCACATGTTAGTAGAATTATATGGAAAGTACTTTGAAAACTAAAGATGTATACAAATTGATATGGTGGTTATATCATAATCATTATCTCATCATTAGAATCTCTGAGGGGTTTTTTTGTTCTGCTTTTTATTTACTGATGAGAGAGAGAGACAGACAGACAGACATCAATTTGTTGTTCCACTTATGCACTCATTGGTTGCTTTTTGTTTGTGCCTTGACTGGGTATTGAACCTGCAACCTTGGGGTATCAGGATGATGCTCCAATCAACTGAGCTACCCGGCCAGGGCCTCCGAGTTTTATTTTAAAACAGTCCAGTGGATAATGCACATTAAAACTTACAGCTAAATATTTTGATGAAAGAACAATATGTGTTCTTTCAAGATATGGTCTATGAATAAAATGTTAAAAATTATTTTGGTTCTTTTATTGTTTTTTTTAAACATATTTTAGAGCCGAAGAAAGTTAAAGTAAAAAAACCAAAACCTGAATTTCCTGTGTATATGCCTTTGGAAAGTACATATATTCAATCATATGATCATGGAACTTCTATAGAAGAAATCGAGGAACAAATGGATTATTGGCTGGAAAACAGGAACAGAGCACAGAAAAAACAGGTAAATAAACTTTTGAAAATTTGTTTTAACTGAGTCAAATACATACAGAAAAGTACCTAAAATATAGATATATAGCTATATATCTCAGTGAGCTCAGTGATCTACCACAAGAAAACCTAGTTAACCATTTCCAAAATCAAGAAATAGAACATTGCTGTTATTCACAGTGGCTAAGGCATGGAAATAATCAAAGTGTCCTTTGATAGATGATTAAATTAATTAATACACAATAAAATTATATTCAGCCATAAGAAAGAATGAAATACTGCCATTTGCAACAACATGAATGGCTCTTGAGAATATCATGAGAAGCGAAATGAGTCAGTCAGAAAGACTCAGCCATATGATTTTATTCATATGTGGGATGTAAAACTGAAAGCAACAAATAAACGAACAAGACAAACAAAAATTCATAGACACAGACAACAGTATGGTAGTTACCAGATGGGAAGGGGGTGGGAGGGGTTTAGTAAACTGTAAGAAGGGTCAAATATTTGGTGATGGAGATTTGACTTTCAGTGGTAAACACAAAATGCCTCGTACTGATGCTCTATCATAGAATTGTACACTTGAAACCTATATAATTTTATTAACCAATGTCACCCAATAGGAAGGGAGGGAGGAAGGAAGGAAGAAATAGAACATTACCATTGCCCAGAAGCCTTTCTCATGCTTCCTGCTGTCACTTCTTTTCTTCCAGCAAGATGATGATTATCCTGACTTCTAACATCATAGATTAGTTTTACCTGCTGTTTGAAGTTTATACATGGAATCATCCTTAGTCCATTCAGGCTGCTGTAACAAAAATATAACAGACTGGGTAGCTTAAAGAACAAACATTTATGTATTTCTCACAATTCTGAGTCCAAGATCAAGGCATCAGCAGATTTGGTGTCTGGTGAGGGTGCTCTTCCTAATTCATAGACAGCAGTCTTCTTGCTGTGTGTGTCTTTATGTGGCAGAAGAGGTGAGGTAGCTCTCTGGGGTCTCTTTCCATTTGGGATAAGGGCATTAATCCCATTTATGAGGGCATATCACAATGGGAATTACGATTTCAACATAGAGATTTGAGGGGAACACACACATTCTGTCCAGAACACATGCTATATGTACTCTTCTATCTGCTTTCCTCTATTCAATATTATATTTGTGAGATTCATTCATTATTGTGTTTAGCAGTAGTTTATTCACTTTTATTTCTGCATAATAGTCCATTTAGAAATACATATAGCACAATTTATTTATTTGTTGGAGATTTGCATTGTTTGCAGTTTGGGGCCATAATGAATAACTTTCCTGTGAACGTAATATTATACTTTTAGTACAGAAAATGTAAATTTCTATTTTTGGAGTTGTGTTGCAGGTCAACTTCAGTAAATACTTCTAAAGTTTTTTTTTAAATGTTTATATCAATTTATACTTAAACAGCAGGATATACCAGTTACTCTACATCCTTGCCAACACTTGGTCAAGTCTTTCATATTTTAACCATTATGGTAAGTTATGTAGTGATATCTATGTTTCAATTTGCATATCCTTTGATGAATTAGACTGAGTTTATTAAACACTGATATCCTCCTATATAAAGAGCCTTTTCAAGTCTTTTTGTATTGGGTTGCCTGTGTTTTTTCATACTGAAGAGTTCTTTTTGTATTTCATAAATGCGTTTTGCACATATTTCCTCCCACTCTGACTTTCCTTTTCACTCTCTTAATGGTGTCCTTTGATGGCCAGAATTACTGATTTTTTAAAAATTTATTTTCATTGTTGAAATTATTACAAATGT